ACTGGCCTGTCACTGGCCCTCATATGTGGGATCCGAACCGGGGCCCTCTGGCATCCCAAGCGAGTTCTTAACCATCGCGCCACTCGGCCGGCCCACACCTGTCCTTTCAACCTCAGCCTCCTCGTTGCTCCTCCCTACCCCTCGCAGGCCTTTGCAAGAAACAGACCTGACCATGGTTGTCTGTGTGGCTCGAGAACAGGCTTTTCATGCTTAAATGTCCATAGGAAATTCTTACGGGATTCTCTAAAATCATCACGCTCATCACTTTGGTACCCAAAGCTGCATCTCACTGAAGCCCCACTGCCTGGGCTCATGTCTGGGCAGCTGCCACAGTTCACCCCCAACCCCTCCCTGGCCAGCCCTTGGAGGATGCAGGGGTGCTGGGAGGACCCCTTCCTGTCTCAGGTGGGAGCACACCCATACCCTCACCCACAGGCTGGGTTCTTGGCTTGCTGTGGGTGAACAGGGAGGGGTCCTCAAACCTGAGACGCAGCTGAAGGCTGTGCTGACGAAGACCTCTGGGCCCTCAGTTTCTGACCTGGCAGGCATGGGTGTGGGGTGCTCCAAGAACCCCAGGTAAAGGGCCCCTCCCCTCCTCAGTCCCCTTGCCCACCCTGACCCAGAAGCCTGGCCAGGAACAAATCCATTTCACTCCTCTGGAGCAGACGGACGGACACGAGGTACACACGTGCCCTCTGGGGCTTTTTCCAACAGTGCAAAAGTCATTTATTCTGGTTTCTTCTTGTGGAACCCAGGGTTATCTGGCTTTTATTTTTTGGTTTGGGCACAGCTTGGCCTCATGGTGCACCGCAGTGGCCCTGGGGTGCAACAAGGCACAGAGGTGAGTCCTGCATCAGGTGACACCAACTACTGGGGCATGTGAGCACCAGGAAGGGGGGCGCTGGCCACATCCAGGGGTGCAGGGACTCCCGAGGGACGAGTGGCTCCAGTGTGTGTCGAGAGGGTGCAAAATGACCCCAGTGTGTGTCCTATGGCCCGTTCCTTGGCACATTCACAGCAAAAGCAGCCAGCACAGAGGTGTGAGCCCCCGTTAGAACGTCCATGAGCAGCCCCACTTATCCGGTCCTACAAGCCTCATTCATCGTGGGCCTGGTCAAAGGGGCTTCCCAGGGCAAGTCGCCATCAACCATGCTAGAGTCGTCCCCTCCTCGCTCTGGGAAGGGCTGGGGTCTGGAACTGCGTCAGGTCCCAGCTGCTGTCCTGAGGTCACCCCAGGGCCCAATACCCGCTGAGCTCCATGACCCCAGAGAGGGTGCAGAGAAGGATGCAGACAGGAAAAGGGGAGGAGGCTTCTGCAGGAGGGCTTGGGCTCTTCCCACAGAAGACCACCGTGAAGGCAGCTGACCTTGAGTGTGACCCCAGTGGGGCAGAGTGAGGACACAGTGTGCTGGACAGGAAAGGAGAGAGGCCTGGGTGTCCCTTCACCCACGAAATGTCCCTGGGTACTAAGGGGACTCCCCTGAAGAGCATCACCCGGCTCAGGAGTGGAGAGTCAGTGTACAGACAAAGTAAGTGAAGGACCAACTTCCCAGGACATTTAATTTCAGCCGCTGGAGCCTTTCCCACATGGTCTGGCCGCTGCTTGTCTAAGTCTCACTCCGGTACCGCAAGCGGGAGAGGCGAACCCGGATGGCCTGGTCATCGTCGGGGCCGCCATCGGCCAGGCGGACCACCCTGCTACTCAGGACAAGGTCCTGCACCTTGTGTTTGGCCATGGAGACCAGGCCGGGTTGGTCGGGGCTGGCTGGGCCCGTGAGGAGGATGCAGGCGGCGTGGCGGCCAGGCTCAAACAGGGCCACTGTGGGGGACACAGCTGTCAGGTATCTTGGGACCAGACATGGCAGACCTCCCAGTGGGTGGGGCCCAGGCCCATGCCAAGGCCACACTCACCTTGGAAAGCAACCATGTTGGCAGAGATGTTGGTCAGCTCGAGCAGGATACCTGGCAGGGTGGGATGGAACAGGTACAGGCTGTGCTGGGGGTCCCTGGGCTCCTAGGGTGAGAACCAGCGATGCGGCATGAGGCCAGTCAGGGCTGCAGCCATCTCTACATCCCAGGCCTGGTGGCCGGGCAATGCTGCACTAACCCCTATGGGACCTTCCTGACAGTGACCACATCCAGAGCGTGTCCCCCAGAGTCCCCGCCTGGGGTCCCCATGAAACACCAACCCCAAATCTGCACTTGACTTCTGCCCCTCTTCCCCCCAACCTGACCCTTATCCTTCTTGGGTGTCCTTCACCTGGATCTCAGCGCCTGCCCTCCCCAGTGTACCCCGCTTCTTCCTAGATCCCCCTCGTCTGCCCCCGAGGCAGACCCCAGCCCTGGCCTCATCCTGCCCACACGTCCAGTCACCCAAGGTGGGACCTAAGACTGGCCTCTGGCCCTGGCTCCTGGCACAGGCATGTCCCCTGCCCATACCATCTGGGTGGCCCCAATCAGCTCGTGGAAGCCCCAGAAGAAGAAGGCTGAGCGGTGGTCTGCGGTCGGCAGGCTGGCGGACTGAGGGTCCCCAGCGAGGCCTGGGAGGGCCTGGCTCCATAGCACGGCCCCGGTGCTGAGGTCCAGGAGCAGGATCTGAGGAGGGAGGAGGCAGTGTGGGGGGCTGAGGGTGGGGCTCGCATAGGCACTGGGCCCCCAGCCACGCCAGCCCTGAAGGAGCTGCTCCTTGAGGGAGACAGGGTGTTGCCCTGAGGCCCCTCTTGTCTCGGCTCAGCCTTCCGGCCACAGTCCTGTCTGCTGTTCAGGCTAATTTTCCTCAGCTGTGAACAAAGGGGAACCTCAGAAGGAAGTGCAGCTGACCTGTCTGTCAATGCCAGTTCCATTTTCAATGACCACGGCCAAGGTGTCGGGTTTGTAGTGGCCAAGGATGGGTTTCCTGCAAAAAGAATAGGGAAGGAGAGCTCATGAGGGGTCTCTGTGAGGAGATACCTGGGGACAGGTACGCTACCCATCTTCTTCTTGGCCTCACCTGGGCAGGGAAGGGCTGCCGAGGCCAGGGCCCCGGATGGGAAGCTGAGGGGGCTTCACCAGCCCCTCTAGTGCCGGCCAGCACCAGGTGACAGGTAAGAAGCACGCGGGTCCTCCCACCCACCCCCAACGGGCAGCCTCGTCCCTGGGGTGGCCAGAAGATGGGCTGCAGGTGCCCAGCTTGCAACAACCTCATGGGTTCGTGGAGAAGACCTCATACCTGAGGATCTGGGCTGCACTGAAGGTCCACTTGGGTGACAGCTCCTGCCCGTCCAGCAACATACAGGCTTCTGAAGTTACCAAGAGGAGGTCCTCACCGCCTTTCCCGGGAACGTTCATCAGGTAGCGGATGGCTCCAGAGCTAGAGGAGGATGGAAGGATGTGGCTTGGACACAGAGGCTGGAGGCTGGGACCCTCCCCCAAGCACTGCCCGTGGGGCTCCCATGTGTGGCCCTGTGTTTCTTGGTTCTCTAATATGAAATATAAAACAAAACCCTCCCTGTGTTTGGAGAGAGGGTGAGCCCACTTTTGGGAACCCTTTTTTCCCTGAACTTTCGGTGCCAGGTCCTTGTCTCTCAATTGCTCCAAGCGCAGAGGAGGGGACCTAGGCTGTGTGGCTGCCGCCCAGACTAACCTGTGCAAAAGCAGCCTGTGGGCGGTGGTGTTGAGCATGTCCTCCCAGCCGGGGTCTCTCCTTAATGTGCTGTCTCTCCCGGTCACCTTCTCATAGAGGCCTTTCACAGACTGGCCACAGAGGGAACTTGCTACTCAAAACACAGAAGAGATGCACGCAGGTCACCAAGGGCTGTTGTTGGGGGACCCGGAGGCCACATGCCCACCAGCCCTGCTTCCAGAAGTATGTGGTTCCCTCCCTGAGCCTCGGGGGGGGGGCAGGAGTGGGGGAGATGAGACCCTCCGTGTCCTTCTCAGCCTGTCAGTGATTAATTCGAAACCCTAGAAGAAAAGCAGGAGTCGACGAGCCTCAGGGCGGTCACAGATCCCCTTATACTTTGCTTTCTCCAGGGTGCAGTGCTCATCTGAGACCAGCATGACCTCCGAGAGTGAGGCCGTCCAGGGGCCTGGCAGGCACGACGTACCGCAGGGGAAAAGGATGTAGTGGGCGCCTGCTCTGGTGACATGGAGGAGGGAGCCGCTGGTCTCGTCCACACCAAGGCTGCCTTGATGGCCAATCTGGTGCCCAGTGCTGCCTGAATAGATGTAGCCGTGAACCTGCACCACATGGGAGGAAAAAGGGGTCAAAATTCCTCTGGTTTAGGGAACGATGGCTTTAAGTGTCTGATGTCAGGTGTCTGTGCACGGCATGCCTGGGAGAAGCAGGCAGTCTCCCAGCCTAAAGCCCCTCACAGTCCTTACAGCCTCTCGTCCACGCAGCAGTGACACAAATGGGGTACACTTTCTTTCTTGGGGAGGCTCAGAAGCTGTGGACAGGGAAAGAGCTGCCCAAGTGCTGGGTCTGTGGGTGCCAGGAACACGGGGCCCTAGGCGAGTTCCCTGACAGGTGGAATTCTGCCTGGGAAGTGGAAGTGGACAGGGGAGGGGTCAGAGGTCACATGGCGTCGGGGCCGCAGTGACCTGGGAGAAGAGCTATACCTCCTTTCCGTCCTGGGTGAGGACCAGCAGGTCTGGGGCCCCGTCGGCATTGAGGTCGGGCACCTGGAGTAAAGGGCTCAGGATGGAAGCGTTCCCTCCAAGGCTGCTGGGATGGTTCCAGAGTGTCTGCCCTAAAACCAGGCACATATGGGGCGCTAGCTCCATATCCCCTTCCAACGGCACCTGGCAACTACGCAGAGGCTCCTACTCGGGAATGGAAATGCCTGCCAGCAGGAGGCTGAAGGGTGCAATGTGAGTGCGACTGCTGAACATGGAGATGTGCAGGCACGTGTGAGAAAAGTGCGGGGGCTTATCAACCAGCGTGTTTGTATTATTTCTGGGATTTCAGAGCATTCCCCCCTCGTTCCCCCACCCCTGCCTCTGCCACCTTTCCTGCCTTATCCAGGTTTTCTAATATTTGTCTCTAGAGCATCTTAGGGCCAATGCTGACCCTCCCCACCCGGATGCACAGGGTCTGACCTTGCCAACCCCCAAGGCCCCTCAGGACCGCTTTGTGCTGCTGGGCTCACAGGGGACCCTCTGCCCCCACCAAGGCCCTGGCTGAGTGGCCTGTGATTTTGCCCTTCACCCAGCAGGAGAGAAGGAAGGTGCTGAGGGTCGAACTCGGGGCCTGCAGGTCCCAAGGTAACAGCTTCTGGCTCAGATATAATCGTGTCCTTTTTCAAGACTGATTCCTCTCAACATATTTCCAGCCTGCTCTTCATTTTCCTCCATATCCTTAATATCACAACTTGTAAAGGAAATGCTAGTACCTACCAAATCTAATGTCAAGGCGCAGAACTCCTTGGTAAGGTACTGGGGGCAATCCCCTTGGTGCCCACATACGGCCCACCCTGTACCCTTCCTTTCTACCTGGTCACAGCGCCCTGAGGGCACAGACATCGGTCCTCCCGTCTTGAGTAGATGCAGGTGGCTTTGCAGAGAAGCGGCCTACCTGTAAATGAGTCGACTGCAATGGAAGAACCACGTCTGCCTACAACGATGCAGGCGGAAGATGCCCCGCTGTCCCTCGGCTGGGGGACGGCACATTCCACGAGGGCCACATCCTGGGCTGTGGGCCTCTCCCAGAGGATGCTGCCGTTTGCCCCTGACACAGCGGCCATGAAGGTACAGGGAGAGGAGAAGCCTGGAGGGGACAGACCCAACTCTGTGGGGTTGTGCACGCAGCCCACATGCTGCCAGACCTTCTCCTTCATACCTCGCTCCCGGTCACAGCACCTACCACCTGGGCTCATTCATTTTATCCCTGGACCCTTACCCCTAGATCCATGGGGGCCCTAGCGTGACCCCATGAGGATTAGTAACCATGCGGGGTGTGTGCTGGGACCAGAGCCTGCCTCCCTGTCTCTTCCTCCCTGCTAAGGAGGAAGAGTGATGATGGTTTCCAGAAATTCCAACTGCTTCCCTCAAATACTGCAAGAGCGAGGACTCTACCTCTTACTGGGAGTTCCTCTTTTTTTCGGATAGAAAGAAAATTACCTTCATCGGCGCAGGACTGGTTGAAGTCATTGCTGCTGTTGGTACTTTTATAAAGAAAGAGGACGTCTTGGACCCTGTCCCTGTTTATATCTTCCATGGCCAGAAAGTCATAGGTGACTGAAAAAGAGAACCACAGGCTATATTCTTCAGGCCATGCCTGGTTTAAAGGTTAGGCCAAGTCTGACCTGACCTACTCCTCTGTCCCTTGGGGTTTAGTGCCAGTTAGAACCTGCCACCACGAGATCACAAGTGGCTTCTTCCTCACTAGGACTAGCCACTTCCCACACCTCTTCAGGATACAAGCAATTCTTTGTGCATAGGACGGATGACAGTATCAGGGGTTAACCTTTAGGAAGGAGCAGGCAGGACACCTGGGGACCCCCAATGGGGTGTTCCGAGTACCGTCTGTTCAAGAATGAATCCCTCCTTACGTCGGTCCACACTTCCACACCACATGCATAAGGGTCTAGCCCTTCCTCTCCTGGGAGGACTCAAATTATAAACTATATGCTTGAAAATCAAACATCAAAAGAATGAAGTTGGGTCCTTACCTTACACCATCTACAACAATGGACTCAAAATGGATCAAAGACGTAAACATTAGAGCTAAAATTATAAAACTCTTAGAAAACATAGGGAAATCTTCAGGACCTTGGTATTGGTAATGATCCCCCCACACCTGCCCTCACCCCCACC